GATGGTAACCCGGATGTAGCCTTTACATTGCCCGATCACATGAGACATTGCCCGAAAACATGAGACATTGCCCGAAAACATGCGAACCGAAAACATGCGGTCCGAAAACATGTGAACCGAAAACGTACGGCCCGATGTCGATGACATGAGACATTGCCCGAAAACATGTGAACCGAAAACATACGGGCCCGATGTCGATGACATGAGACATTGCCCGAAAACATGTGAACCGAAACATACGGGCCCGATGTCGATGACATGAGACATTGCCCGAAAACATGTGAACCGAAAACATACGGCCCGAAAACATGAGACATTGCCCGAAAACATCTGTCTTCACCAATTTATATTTTTGTCCCATTCCACCCCTCATACATATTTACGTCTTAGGTGGCCTTTTTCATTATCCAAAAGTGCTCCTGGAAGCCGAAACCCCCCCCCCCCCCAATCTTTTGATGCTTCCTACGCCCCTGTTAATAATTCATGAAGAAAACACAAAAGAAATCATGAGCGTGCATGAAGGAGTTTGTATATCTGATGCAGAATCATTTCGGTATATCTGATGCAGAATCATGCTGATTTACATAAACTTTAAGTTCAATTTCTCATCAAATATCATTCATATATTTTAAATTGTTAAAGAATACAAATGTTCTCATCAGACGTTTCACAAGTCATTCATTCAAAACATTCGCGTCACGGCCTCTCATGTTGAAATAGTATGAAATTAAAACAAATACAGTGAAATAAACGAAAGATACTTTGGCTTAAAGTGCTTACCATAATGACAAGGCAAAATTAGAGAGCAGGGCCAGCTGAAAACTTCCAATTCCTACTCCAAGTCCTAAACCTTTCTTAATTCCAAAATTGCACGCATCATCAAGGTGCTTTTCATATCTAAAGTTAAACAAAAATAACGAGCACGTTTTAGTTGATCAAAGCAAACACTCAAAATTAACGTCCCTTGTTCTTGGGACGCTGCTGCTATTTCTTTAAATATTTATACTTCAAACATTGCTTTTCAGACAAAACAAGTACTTCTTTTGTTGATTTCACGTCTATATATATTTGTAATTTGACCTTGTTTTTAGTTCAGTTTAATTTAATTTCTTCCAAAAAAATATATTCTGTTCATGTTTGTTATATCTTCGCTCTTTTTTAACTGTTTGCCTTTTTAACTGTTTGCTAACCTGTACAGTGTACACAGTTGCAGGCAGTATTTACATTCTGTTTTATTCCTGTTAATGCTATTTATATTCCCTATTAAAAGCGAAAAACGTACTGTTTTCTCGTTCAGAAAATTCCGGTAATTTTCGAGTCACCGTCTTTTTTTTTCTGCTGGCAGGATAAATATGACAATTATTCACCGAAGTGAAGATTAATAGTGCAAGGATATCCAGCGCTGAGCAACCAATCAAATTTTGCTCTTGCCGCGTTTAATGGAAACTTTCAATATGGTTGTAAAACTTTTAAAATGAATAATTAACAATTTAGTGCTTTCGACTTTCGACCCTTGATTTTCGACCCTCAACCTCGACTTTTGACCCTCGACCTATAACCCCCGACATTCGACAATTACCCAAACACGTCTCGACTTAATATTTTTTAATATTTTATATAAAACTGAAACTAGAACTGACACTCACAATTCCGCCTGTTTGTTCTCCCCTCCAAAAGCAGCCACGGTCTTGACTGATGAAATACTTTGCTCGGCCACGTGACCAGCTTTTGAATAAGCCTCTAATTCCTTACTTGTATAACTACCCGTTACCTATAAAATAATGTTTGAGGTTTCAAAGCAGAGAACTGTCGCCTATCATGCAAAAAGAAAAACTATTGATCATTACGTGCCATGTCGTTTTATTGGAGGAAAATTAATTTCGTAAAGACATAATTAAAAGCAAACGTTTTAGCTAGCGTTCTTTCTTCAGTGACAAGCATTCTTGAGAATCAATGCTAACGAATTTACCACATACTATAAATCTCTATTATGAAGTCTTCTCTTCAATAAGCCCTCATCCTTTAAAAGTGTTGGTAATAAATAGGATGTATAGAGCGTTTGCACATGACGTCACAGCCGCCATGTTGGTGTTCCAATTCAAAAGAATTTTAATTAGACTCTTTTGTCTGGAACAGGTCCCTGGGGAATGAGTGCAAACGCTCTATTGGTCAATACGCAGAGACTACATGGAAATAATTGTTGCGAAAACTGCAAAGAATGCTCAAATAAGCGCCTTTGTCTTTTTGACAAGCATAAATGTATACATACTACATGAAAGATTTTAGTTGCACTCACTTGGTTGAACATGAGCTCCACCTCTGAATTTACTATATGAGTAAATTCTTAAATACGTCCGAATTTATCAATGATTTTCAAAATTTTCAGAAAAAAAGTTTTAAAAAAGTTTTAAAAAAGTTTTAAAAAAGTTTTAAAAAAGTTTTAAAAAAGTTTTAAAAAAGTTAAAAAAGTTAGGGTTAGGGGTTAGGTGCCGCGAATTTATCATATTGATAAATTCGGACGTGTTTAAGAATTTACTCATATAGTAAATTCAAAGGTGGAGTTCATGCTGAACTGGAATGCTGGGTTTGGTGGATAATCCAAGTGAGCATTTATATAGTTGACCTAAACAGGAAAGCCCTAGGGTTCTCTGGCAGGAATGCAACCTGCGCCCCTGCGATTCCGTTGCAGCGCTCTAACCAACTGAGCTACATGCAGAGGCCAGTTGTCGAGCTGTAACCGCAAGTTCATGTATATATATATATTTTTGGGTGTGCGGGTTGTGATAGGATGAACTTCAAACATGTTAGTTGAACTTCACTTGGTTGAACTAGGCTACGTTTAAACTATACCGGATAGCTTTTCGTTGTGGCGCAAAAAAACAACATCCGAAATGGACTCGTTGCCAGTTCCAGAAGCTGAGCGAAACAACGTCTCTCCGTTGCAATAATTCCTCTGGATGGAGATAGCGTTCCTAAAATGTAGGGATAGGTATTTCACACGTCGCTATGGAAAGATATCCGGACAGTATAAACGTAGCCCTAGAATACTGGGTTTGGTGGATAATCTAAGTGAACTAGCACAAACCAAAGGTCGCGGGTTCGATTCCCACCGCGGCGAACTCTTCAGCTTGTCCGGTGTGAACATACTCAGAAACAACATCACAACTATAAATCTTCACCTGAGTGCATACATAACACCAGAAACAAAAATTCAAGATCGTAAAAACACTGATATCGCGAAGGAACTAGACTGAGTTCCGAAATATCACCCACACGAACCGAGTTGACCTCGTAGCTAGCTCAGTTGATAGAGCATTGGATTAGCAAACGCAGTGGTGGATCCAGCAAGGTTTTTCTTTAGGGGGGGTGCTGGGTGAGCAGCCGAGTGTTTCTTTATAATTCTTTAGGGGGGTGAGAGAAAATTAGAACTCTAATTTAGAATTCAATAAATTTTGAAAATTAGAACTCTAGAAATGCCATTTCCTGCGATATGGGCATTGAATTACGAGCTTCAGTTTGACTTCAAAAAAAGGAAAAACCTTGGAAATTGTGCCATATTTCTGAATTTGATTTTTTTGCACCCCGGCCATGCACCTCTGTTGACCAAGGCCAACAGGGGTGCGTACCCTTGTGCACCCTATAAATCCACCCCTGAGCAAACCAAAGGTCGCGGGTTCGATTCCTACCGCGGTTCAGAAACAATATCACAAACAATGCTATTGTTTATAAGTGCTATGCACTTCGCTAAATCATTAATCTTTTACTGCTATGCAGTCTGCCAAAATGGCGGTCAATGCCTGGTCGCATGTTGCTTTTATATTGTCACCTCCGGTATTATAAATAGTAAAACATAACTTTGAATTACTGCAGATTCGAGGCGTTTGCTCAAAGGCTGAGGAAATTGTGATCATATCTAAAAGCTCATAAACTCTGAACTGATTCCGTTTAATAAAGGTTGTCACATTGAAAACTGTACTGAATTGCATGATTATGTCTAAGTAAGAACTCACCATCGCCATCATTGCACCACATACAAAGAGCAGCGGAAGCTGAGCCAGCATAAGAAATGCTAGTTGCCAACAATAGATGAAGCCGATTATATAACCAGCGAAAAAGCCGATCAAACTACATATTATCCGTCCAAATTTGGCACCAATGCCATCGCCAATTTTATTGATATCCCTATGGTGAATAAAATGAAAATTACGCCAGTATATGCGATAATTCCAAAACAAGAATCTTAATTTCGGTGTATTATTTCCTGGAAAGGAAATCAAAAGTGCGTTTTATATATTGCATGGTTGTTGATGCGCAACTTGAGTGCAAATATGCTGTTTTTGGCAACCACATTCAAATACAAATAGAAGGTTTAATAAAACGCGACATTTAATAATTCATAAAGGGGCATGTTTTACGAACTTTTAAAGAACAAAACAATTTGATGTGCACGAAGTCTTTCCCGGACTCCCCCGGTCACTACAACATGGACTTTTTGCCTCATTAACTTTTTGCCTCTTTTAATTCCGGCATGTTCCGAAATCCCCCCAAAACACATCAAAATTAATTGCTTCGTACTTTGATAGTTGATAAAACATATTCTAAACCTTTGAATTCAAATCGCGTTTTTAAATCTTCCGTTTTTGTGCGCAAGCCATTTTTAATGTGGTTCGCACAAGAAGTCCAAGACAATCCATATTCACTGCAGAAATTTTCACAAAAGGTTGCGAAAATTTAAATTTGGTGGCCATTTTTGGATCGTCTATTTTGGATTGTCTAGTCCAATTTCTCTGCACATACAACACATATCAATTGCAATACTAAACTACGAATTTTCTGGCAAATTTCCAAATAATTTCGATAACTTTCTCTCTTGTCAGTATATATAGTATGCACGTCGATTACATAGTACACGCTGTCACGCTCAGCATGCATGTAGATCAGGGCGCTTCTATCTCCCAATTCCTACCTCAAAAAACAAATCATGGAATATTTAATGCAAGATATACTCTGGTCCTAAAACGTGAAAGTCAATTGAAGAATCACTCAAAACACTTAATATTTATTCATTTAAACGAAACTTAAAGTATAATCTTATTAGGTTTTACTAATTTCAAAGATCATCATATTTAATTGTCATGCACTCATTTTCTCATTACTATACTGTACATTTAGCACATTACTGCACTGACGTATATGCTTTATATTTGAAGTGTCTGATTTACGATCACCTGTCTCGATTAGTCCTGTATTTTACAGGACTATATATTTGTAAATTTTGTGTTCTCGTGTTTCTTGCTGATATAGCAACATTCTGTATTCAGAAGTCCATAATAAAGCTTTTGTATCTTTTACCTACTAACCTACTGTATCGATCTTCGCATGGTTGGCAAATAAATTTTTAATTCACCAACAGGTCAAAAAATATAATTAAAAAATAATGCCGAAAGGCACTGTCATACTGAAGAGTATGAATGCAGTAACTGTCTATACAATAAATTAAACAGTTATTCTATATACACACTTTGTCGTAAGTGCATGAATGTTAGCCAACTTGGTGCCGGTTCTCAATAGTCAATATACTAAAAACATTATATGCTGGTTGCAGTTTTTCTTTAGCATCAACCACTGGTAGGAATAATGAATAAGCATGCAATTCAAAAAAAGAAAAGAATAACATACTCTGATAGTCGACTGAGTATTTCTCCACTCGAGTGCGAATCGAACCAGCCGATCTCCTGATGGATTGCATTTCTAAACAGGGCCAACCTCATTTTGTGCACTTGTCGTTCTGCACTGTAGCCAAATAATCCTATGCCTAACCAGGAAAATAAGAAGTTGCCTGCAGCAAGACCAATGTACCATATCGCCACGGTTGTCATTGAGTCTTCAAGATCTATCGGATCACTACAGTTATTCTTCATACAAACAGAGTAATCGACTAAGTCTTGCGTCATGCTACCAAGCAGTATGAATTGACCAGGAGTAATGGTGCCATAGAGAAAACATCCCAAAATAGCAAGTGCCAGAAGAATAGTATCCGTATTATCAATAAAACGAAGCTGAAAGAAAATAAAAACATAAACAAAATACGACTTCATTTATATCTTTCATCTATTTACTGGTTAACAGATTATAATATTCTATCAACACTTCTCCACTCTCCACGTTTTCCCTTTTAAATCTACTGTAAGTGCAATACCTTATAAGGCACCAACTTGGGTCAAACCACAAACGTGGGTTAAATGCAGAATATATACATTCAAGTGAACATGCACAACAGTTGGTTAAAAAATAGCATTGTAATGTAAGAACGGTTTTGATTGGCTGAAATGGCTGAACTGAGTGCTCGATAATTCGATTAAGCACAGCAAAAAAGCGCGGGATTTTGTGCCCCTTTTTTGGCGAACATTTCCTCGGGAATTTTCGCAAAAATTTACATTTCTTTTAATTAATAAAATATAACACTATATAGCGCATTTGCGTAGTGCGAATCACCCGCCCAAAGTACTTGAAATGTTATCAAATATACCGGTAAATACTGCTGAAATAGTCAGTAAGTCAAATGCTTGACCGACTTTTCAAATTACCCAACCATGCAGTTAAACATCGCGTAAATCATAGCTCGAAGGGGAGATGGCTGTGAAACTCATTAGAATAACAATATAACTCATTATCTATGTTGGTCAACGTTTATTCATAAATCTTGTCATTCACCGTCACGTGTGTATTGTATTTTTACCCAACTAACCAATTGCAATGTTTTAGGAAAGTCACCTATCCGTGACTCAAACAATAGGGAAACTGGAAATTGCTATTAGTGGATTTAGTAAAAATACAATACACACGTGACGGTGAAAGGACCAGATTTATGAATAAACGTTGACTAACATAGATAATGAGTTATATTGTTATTCTAATGAGTTTCACAGCCATCTCCCCTTCGATAGGCCATGCATAAACCGCAATGGTTATTTCAACCAAGAGAAAAGCCGGTTTTCCACTAAGCGGGATTTTGTGCGCGGCAGAGTGGATTTTTCTTTGTCTTGTGTTTGGGTGGAACTAGTGAGCTCCATATATATCTGGAGCGAGAACTCGAGTCGAAAAAGTGAAGCCAGCTTCGTGTTAACCGCGCAGTCAAAAACACTGAGAAAATAACTGGAACTGAGGTGCAGTAGCTCCTTCAACTTCAATGGACAACTTGCATGTTAGACTATAAATTTTAATCTAAGTAAAGAGAAGGGAATCAAACACAACAGTTAAAAAGAACATAATGAAATTAGCAAAATTGTAAAATTTGGTTGCGAAATGTTGTAAAATACAGAAAATATAGCCTTGCATGCGAAGTTTGCATATTTTCAGTATATTCGTATTATGTGCGGAAATTGTTACCATTTTCGACTCAAAAATGGTAACAATTTCCGCACGTAATACAAACATATACATTCGCAACCGAATTTTGCAATTTTACTTATTTTAATTTAATAAGTTCTTTACGGGTATTTACTTTTTTTTGCCTAAATTAAAAATTAGTCTAACATGCAGTTGTCTATTAGCTGGGGAAAATGGTATAAAAACTGTTTACGCCTTGGCTTCACTTTTCACGTAGGTCGAATGACTGACGTTCTTGCTCTTCATATAATATATAGAGCTCACTGGGTAAAGAAATTCCGCCTTGTGGAAAACCGACTTAAATATGAGGTTAAATGGCCTATAATAA